ATAATAAAAAAATTTTAATACAAATTAATTAATTTTTTTATTTTTATTAAAACTAAAAGTATAATTAAATATCGAAAAATATTCCAAATTGCAATCTCCATATATTTTATATAGAGTCTTTGTGCATAAAAAATTTAATGCATGATTTTCAATACAAATCTCTTTATTGAAATTGATTTTTGAATTCAAAACCAATGTTGAAATAATTTTAAAATTTTATAAGCTAACAACTAAAAATATTGTACTAATGCCTAAATAAATTAAAAACTTTAATACTTTATTAATAAAATTGAAAAAATATATAATTGCTAATTTTTATATGCTAACGTTCGTTACCGCTAGTGTTAGAGCACTAGATGTTAGCAACATTACAAATGCACCGCATACTTTAAGGCTGCGAGTTATACTGTTATGTTGACGGCAATAAGTAAAATTTGTTGCATGCATTTAGGCGTTGGTAAATGAAGAACAACTATGCTTGTTTCATTAACATTAATTTTTTGTCGTTAAATGGAGCACACAGTTGTTTGTGGCGCCAATTAACAGCTAAAATCACATTTGAGTGCATACAATCGACTTTTTCATACATGTACACACCCTATACATATAACCATACATATACTATATACTGAAGAAGTTTCCATATATATTTTCACATAACCATATACTATACTTCTCCCTCCACTTTTTCTGTGTCAAGCAAAACGCCACAACTCAGCAGCAGCCATCTTGTCTGCCATATAGCCCACATATCTAGACTTAAAGACGCCGTTTTGCGTCTTATTTTGCCGCCAATTCGTATGCCAATTGTTTCTTTGTGAATTGGGGTGTAAAATTACAAAGCCAGCAGTAAGCGAAATAAAATAAAAGCCGCCCAAATGATGACAGATAAAGCAGAACAATCGAATGACAGCTTTGACGCAGCCAACTTCACTTCATTTGAAGTTAATTTCTTTGTGCAAGCGACCGAATGGATTGCATTTTTAAAGGCGAAAGGAAGCTGTAAATCTTTGTGCTTTAGAATATATATATATATATATAAATAATTATAGCTTCTGCCATATATATTCTTATACACTCAGCTAAAACATAATAATTAGGAAAGATGGTAGCAAAGTGAACCCACTAGGCGAAGTAATAAAGTTTAGCAAAAGATGGGAGGAACATTTCCTATAAAAGCCACAATAGGAAGCGTAGACGAAAAAAAAAGGACTCAATAATTCTCCAAAGTAAAGACCAAATACATCTGCAGCAGAATTACGGTTTATGAAGTCTCCACATAAAATAAAAACTACTGAAGAAGTTCATGCTGACAGAATGCGCAGAAGTAACTTCAATTTAAACTCGATATGCTATCGTCAGGCTATTTTGTTGTTATTGTAGCGGTTATCTAGACACCGCATGGGCTGTAAGGTTTGGTTTAGTTGCCATTGAAGTCGTATAACGGTAAGGCCAAGAAACGTTTCGACGGATCACATCATCTGCTACTACTATTTCTATAATGAACCCTATAGAAGATTACTGCACTGAAAGTACTATGTTTTGACTATATTATATTCGCGAAAAGAGAGAGAAAATATGCGGTCTTCACTATTCCAGTATAAACACTGTAAAGAAAGCTCGATGAAGTTAGCAGTTCTCAGAAGAAAAACGTCTTTGGAACATGTAAACTTTACTTTATGCTACTTTTTGGACTTAGAAGGTGTTTTTAACATCACTTTGAATGAAGCATACTCCAAAACTCGCAAAAATTTAGTATTATATAGTATTTATATTCCAAAAGAAGGATCATGGTCGCAATGTTGAGAAACCAATGCCCACTTATTACTAGATATCACTAGGTTATTTATTGATCAAAAACTGTATGAGACTACGTAACATATAGAAGGTCTCAAGTTGGCGGAACTCTGCTAAAAGTCAAAGAATATGGGTGATACCTTAGAGTTACCTTGAACAACCAAATTCCATGGGAAAAAATCCAAAGAAGATGATAATTTATAATTGCTGTATGATACCAGTTAAGGTTCCGATTATTGGTATCGATGGCAACTGAGTCGAAGTTGGTTGGATAATGCTTGCCAGTTCTATCGTAGCGATTAAAAAGTATTTTGATATTATGTAGCGAAGCTGCACGATTCAAAGTTGTAATACGAGGAAGGTACATGTAGCATCACTTCGGCTACTAAAGAGTAGTGTGGATTAACTTTGACCTAGGGCCTTTCCACCTTATGTTGTGCTTACTCTCTTACTATTCTCTACTACTACTGTACTGTACAGAACTAGCAAATCATTTTCTTATGAAATGCGCAAGATCTCGGACCTATTGCGTGATGGTATATTTTTAATATAGCAAGAAAAAAAACCAACTGAGTACAGCAAAACACCGAAGATTTGTCAATTAAAACCAACTGGATCGCAACTGTAGTAAAGCCGGTAGATACCCAATCAGTCGAACTGACTAATTACAGAAGCCTAGCCAAATATTTGGAGGACAAAAAATAAAAGAGTATTAAATTACTTTTAAAGAGGTTCGGTAGGTCCAAATGTAGCTCAGCACCGTGCATTCTAATTTGTAGCCCACAATCGTTTGCACACAATTTGTACCCATCGGTTCCTGTTTTTATTTAGCTCAGCTCAGCTCAATTTAGTGCTGACCTAGCGACTATGAACTTGCCCAGATATTGTGTTAACCTGAATAAACTAAATGCATCTTTTTGTTTTCAGACTGTAGTTTTCCATCAGTACGAAAACTTGAACAGCCACGACAACATTTAACATCTTTCTCCTTAAATTTCATATTTTTTTAATAAAAATATCCACAAGAAGCGTGAAAACAGCCCTTCTAGTCTGCTTCTAAAGCAAATATAAAAATTCGCACGCAATTTGCTCCACAAAAATTGTAGTAAGAGAAAAATCAATAGCGTCCCAGACGGCGAAGGGCTTCAATGATATATAAGGCAAGTAAATATAAATATACGAGACACGCGAGCTCATAAATCCAAGCATAAAATGGCGCTAGAAACAACCCATTCAAAGTTGCCGCCAACCTCATATTGAATACAAATAGGTACGGGAGGTAAGCAACATAACCAAGGGTTAATATTGCATTACGCTACACGTTGCTCATGTTTCCGAAAACCTTGTTTTGTGGAATTCAACAATTTTCGAAATGTTTGCGCGCTTTGCGTGCCAACGCGAGCAATTTTGTTTCGTTACATGCGTAAGTCTATATGAGAGCAGGAGGTGGAGAAGGCAGAAGACGCGTACAAATATGGTTAACTGGTCTCATATGACCGTTTGGGGTGCGCACGGAAATATTTTTACGGAGGCTAAGCCGAAAATTAAATATGGTATCTGCCGTAAATATGTTTGCCCTCCACTTTGGGGGTGGTTTCGCATATCATCCGCAGACCCAATACGCTCCAAAATTGTGAGTGAAGCAGTTTGCAGCAAAGCAAATAACTTTCGTCGGTTATTTAATACTTCTTAAAAATAAATGGTATTCCATATTTACTTTCGTGCAAATTAAAATGACCTGTCTACGCGGCAGTGATGGTTATTAAATTGGGGGAGCTTCCAAGTATAAGCCGCATTGTAATAAAACTCCGTACACAGCGTGTAAAATACCCAATGAAAGCTACGTCATGTTCTAGTTCTAATTGACTCTCGCTTGAAGAGTGATTTCACAAGGCAAATGCTTGAAATTCTGGAATTGTAAGGAAAAATTGATGCCATCAGTATAAATATCGCGCCACAAAGACCGATTCATAAATTTTCTAACCCTTTGTAGAAGAAAGAGTGGATTGAATAAAATCTTTAAAAAAATTTATGAACTTGACTAGACATGTTTTGACTTGCGGACACGGTCAAGTATGTGCTTTTGTCCATTAAACAGGACGTCTAGTCACTGGTAGGCATTTTAACTTGACACAGAACTTTTGAACTCTGCAGCCGAAATTTATTCTGACTTTTCTGTCTCTCACTTGACTTCAGCAAATGGGTAGGTAAGTTTTCAGGTCTAATAATCCGAACTTTTTTCTACCATTCATTGCTCTTATAAATCGCGGCCCTTATGTACATTGTATTATTTAACAAAAAACTGTTTATACCTTATCTGCCGAAGGACTTTTCAAGTTGGATAACTTCAGAAATCTTGAGATTTCGCTCTACTAAGCATCCTTTTCTTCGACATGCGAAGGTTAGCCATAAACAATAATTTATTGTTTGGGTCTAACTCGTTGTATGTTCTGAGATACGCTGGGGGTCAACCAAATCCTTATGTTAATTTAGGTTAGGTTAGATAGCTGATCCCTCAGCATGGCCGGAGATCACACTTAGGCTATTATGTAGAGTTCTTTGTGAGCCGAGGTGTTTTTGTGTTCATCTGAAAAGATCGGAACATGCGAGAAGAACGTGTTGAGAGGTTTTACGGTATGCGAGGAGCAAGTATTGACATGATTCTATCTCATATTCTTCCAAAAAGCTCATGCAGCTAGTAACCAGTAAGTATTCCATCTTATTGCTTGAATCCTGTTCGGACAATGCCCAGTTATAAATTCTACAATCATTGAATGTTGACCCTTACTGATAGCGAAGAGTTCCCTATACCAGAAGACATTGTGACTGCGTAGCTGCTGGTAATTAACCAATGCTTGACTGATTTGGCTTGAGGCTGGCAAGCTCTCTCTTAAAGCTTTCTGCGATACCGCTGTGGCCAGACAACCAGACCAATATAATTATAAAACAACACAAGCGACAGCTACAACTAACCGAATCCACAGTTAAGTTGATGTTTAATCTGACGACTTCATTCTAAAACAGTTAATACGAAACGTTCTCTAATTTAGTCATACTTTTGTGTGTCGCTGGATTATAATAGAGGCATATAGCACACATGATATGCATTTGTAGATAGATCAATATATCACACATAATTTCACAAAAAAATTCTTTAACCACTTATTTACAATACTAATTATTGAACATCTCAAAGGACTTACCTTATCATTTATAAAAGTTGTAGGAGAGTTAGACCTTGGCGAACTGAAAAGAAAAGGAAGTAGAGATGATTAATTACATTATAAAATATGTGACGAAATTATGCAAGGATCATTAATTCTAAGCAGCAACTAACTACAAATATATCTATATACAATATTCTTATGTAAATTGCCACGTTTTAGAAAGCGAAACGAACACACAACTGTCATAAATTAAAGTGTCTAGCTTAACAAATGGAGATAGTAGAGCAAGCTGTCGAACAATTTCATATTGATGCTTAGGTATATATAATATAACATTTTAGTGTATAACTTTATTGTTTCATTCACATGTAAGTTTTTTATAGAAAAAGGCCGAGTTCGTACATAGCGAGCAAAGAAGTAACGAATAGAAGACGAATATCCGTATTTTTCTCCAACAAATTTGACACAAGTTTACTTGTATCTGCTCGTTGGCGCCACTGGTCCATCAAATTGGGAATACTTACTACTAAAGTGCATATTATCCTAGACAAATAGCAATTTGTTACATCATAACTTTGTTGCCTGAGTATACTGACCCAATTCGGTAGAAATATTTGTGTTTTATGAGTTTTTGTAGGGAGCGAAAATAGATGAACGAGGGATGTTGGCTGAAATAAGAGATGCTAAAATAAGTGTACACATGTACAGTTGTATGTATGAATGCCCAATTCTAATTTTTCATAAGAAAAAACTTTTGCCAGCAAATCTCCCACCAGTCAAGTAATTTTCCTTTTCATATTTACTTTTTGTTTTTGCAATTTTTATTGCCTTTGCTAGTAATGTTTTGGAAATTGATGCCATGGAATGTGTTATAGCAGACAAACCAAAAATTCGAATCAAGCGAGTAGGCAGTATAATCAATTTTCATATATACGTACATGCAAAAAAGCTCGGAAATATTATGAACTTCATACAATCCAAACGGAGGGCTGACATCCTCCAAAGAGCTTCTGCTAATAGAGAAGTAGTAGTTACATTGCCGAAACATCGTTCCAATGACTTGTCTCCCATTTTTTACAATCACTTGGTAACAATGTATACATGCTCTAAAGCCTCGAGCCAAAAGTCACAGACCAGACTGTTTTTTGACGATTACATTCTCATGTTATGCATATGCCAGCTCAGTCTATATGTAGTGGTTAGTCTGCATTTCTACAAGTTTCCTTTATTTGCCTGTGGGGGGCACTTAAAACCTTTCTCAAACCGCTCAGGTAGCAACCTTCAGAAAATTTTTTTATTTTAAAGCTTCGACATCTAGAAATGTCCACGATAACAGCTACCAGAACTGCAATTTAATGCTGTCTGGACGCACTGTAAAGGCTGGCTTCGGTCTAAATGGAACCTATCTGAATCCACTCACTCAGGTAGTATTTTACAAAAAGATTTTTATTTCAAAGCTTCAAAATTTGTAGATAGTACTGAATATTGTTTGCTAACTGAACACCATAAATTGTCTGTAGTCAAGATTGACTCCGGTCTAATCGGTTTCGAAAATGTCAAACTAGTTTGGAACAGACCGATATAAGCAGGGATTGGCGCATAAATTAGACCACATACCCTCACGCTTTATCTAAAGAGGGCGCATGGAAACGCGAGCTACCAGCCGAACCCCCAATATCTACACGGCTAAATAAAAAATTACACATGAAGCTGGTGCCGATACTTAATACGCGGAGCTAGATCTCAGACGATCTATCGAATTGTCAGGTCGACGTCCAGGAGGAAGTCTTAACGATAAGGAAGGCTGCAATAACAAAGGAAACGGCATAGAGAACATCCAACATATGTACATATATGTACGTTCAGAGCCAAGTGAAAATTAGAGCACTAATCTCACATCGCTTCGCGGCAGCAGATATGGCGCTGTCGAAAAGCGGCTGCATATAACTTTGCTTCCCGGCCACCCGGAAGGGAATAGCTGATAAGATTGTCACAAGTGCAATGAGCTTGGCTATTAAACCAGTAAAGGAAATACGCAAGCCACTAAACGATACGCAATGAAGTTTCCGAAAGGGTTCACAAACGGATCACGGTAAGTTGGAATGTCTTATGGACACGCAGAATCGCCAGGATCACGTGCAAGGGAACGGAACGAAAACATGCATGTCTTTTACTCACACGACCTCAAATTACTAAAGGATGGTTGTTAACCAAGGCAATGTTGCAACTTAAGGACATCATATACAATCCTTATGGACGTTAATAACGACGACACATTCAGAAAGTGCAGGAAGTAGGTATGAGAGAGACCTGCTCTGCTCATGTTCGGTCTTATCTAGAAGTAGGCTTAGATATCTAGAAGCATGACAGTTCCAAGGACTGGCTGAAGTATCGGAATTAGATATCAGCTAAGAAAAGCGTTGACTTCTTGTACGACCTAAACTTTAGCTCGTATGAAACCTGTTATGACATTATAAAGGATCTGTAGTTCTATATATGGCATCATAGCCAGCCTGTATAATGAATGATGGATCCAAATACATAAGTGAAGTGAATAACTTTTTATTTCTTTGAAAGTAAACTTTTCGAATAGAGACTAGAGGTCTAATACGAGTAAATAAATAACGAGTATGAACCGACTTATGTGCATATGTATGTATTGTTAATACGTCGCTATTTGTAATGAGTTACTTTGTGAGCATAGACTTCATAACGCTGAACAGCAAAATGTGTGCTCTGTGGAGCCAAGTGCTGGTATGAAGTTACTTAACTAATATCACACAAGCTTATTCAATGGAGCTCATAATATAATTAACTAATGAGCAGGAAACTCTACAGTAGGTCATAAAAGTTTGCAACTATGACTTCATGCCTACGTGGGCGTGTCCGGGCAGCAGCAAATATGCTTCATTAATTTTCGGGGACATAAAAGAATTTGTGCTTGTTCAATGAATACCGTAATAAAGTCGTAAAAAAGGGTGCGTATAACCAAATCTTTATGGTAATAAGAAGAAATAATAATGAAAAGAAAAAAGAATATTAAAAAGTTGTAAAAATAATTTGCATATAAGCGCAATGGGCGCTCAGGCTTGCTATAATGCGTTTTGACTTAGAAAATTTAATAGTTTTTAATACCGAAACTATTATATATGCGAATGTATGTAAGATTTACTGTCATTATGCCTTCAAGTGCACTTTTTATCATATTTGTTTACGCAAGTGTCTGGTGCTCACAAGCTGAGCGCCGGCAATTAAGTCACTCATTTAGCTGCACTTCAAAATCTCAAGCAGTTCGTTGGCTCGCTGTAAGACTAGGCGAGGTTGATAAATACTAAAGAAATATTAGTATATACATACATATGTAAATACTCGTATACACAACTATATTCTATATATACTAAACTGATCCCTGCACGCACATGCTAGCCTCACAACCCTTTCCGGTGCGTGATACTTCCTACTGTTAATCTCAGTATATTTTCCCCACACTGCTATAATTTTTTCTCTCCTACCATACTCCACTTAACCACTTGCACTTAAGCATTCCATTCATCGATTTCTTTTACTACTCATTCTGCATTTAAGCATTTCTTCTTGTTTGGGTTTCGTTAGTTTTGAAGCTTGCTCGTAAAATCACAGATAATCTGTCTCGATAAATTGTTAATTGAGTGTGTAATTGAGTTGCGCAGGAAATTGCTCTGCAATGAATTTTCTTAGCAATTAGGGTTGATTAGAAGTGGTGCATGTAATAGTGAATGCTTGGAAAATACGACCGAAATGCTGATTTTGGGTCAACGAGTACATTACAGCAAGTACTACAGTAATGAAAGTGAGTGGAGTGTGGAGAATAGACTGAGCTTGCTGTTAGATTCCGGAAAAACATTCTTAAGTGAAAGTTAGGAAGTAATTTTTATGATACGCTTAAAAAATTTCGATTCCAAATACAAAAAAAAAAAAAAAAAAAAAAAAAAAAAANAAAAAAAAAAAAAAAAAAAAAAAAAAAAAAAAAAAAAAAAAAAAAAAAAAAAAAAAAAAAAAAAAAAAAAAAAAAAAAACATATTTCTATATCTTACAGGTATTTTTGAACACAAGGAACACATTACTTTCGGCAAAAGAATGTCAAAACGCGCGCTCTACCAACGACTCTCCGTGAATTTTTTATCGTTTGACGGATCATGAGGGAAAAGCCAATATGCCTTAAATATGTGTATACATATATCCGGTAAAATATTCTTAAGTGAAAGTAATTAAGTAATATTTATGATACGCTTAAAAAGTTTCGATTTAAAATTAAAAAAAAAAGAATGATATTAATTTTTAAATCTTTCTGATTAAGAAATGGCCGGTCGACGGATCATATGATCATAAGAGAAAAGTCAATACAGTTTTGATTAATTCAATTCCAAATTTGTTGCCGCCAACGCTGCTAAAGCTCGAAAAGGCACTATGATTTAATCAGCCTTTGCCAGCGCATGAAGCACTTACATAAGTGGTGAAATACCACTGGCTCTTCTACCAAGGGATCGTATTACCAAAAGTGTAAACTTCATTAAGAAGGTGTAACGATTCCGCTCTCGAGCTACTGCTTGGGGATAATAAAACTCTTGCGGTGTTTTTATTGATTTTTTGTTTAATTTTTTTTTTCCAATTTTCAATTGTTCATAAAATTTTTTTCGATGACTCATGCCGGTCTCTTTCGACCAATTCAGCGATTTTATTTTTATCGTTTCGACGATGGGGCCTCCCGGAGCGTGGATCTTCGACCACCTCTACACCAGAACAAAAACGTTGAAACCATCGTTGTGCGGTGGTAATGGTAACTGTATCGGTCCATAAAATGCACAAATTTTATTGGCGGCTTGAGATGCATTTTTGCCTTTATCGTAGTAGTACTGTAAAATATGCCGTATTATCTCTTTATTTTGCTCCATGTTTGCGACGCTATAACTCACGAACGACTTAAAAGAAAGAACGTGTTGGCACGTGAAATGAGCTTTCCAAAAAGGTATAGCATGACCCGATGCGACGAATAAAACTAGAACTACGCGCTCTCAGCTCCAACTAGCGATAATATCGCAA